ATGGGGCAGCCACAGCTTCTCTGGGCAACCTGTGCCAGGGCTTTACCACCCTGGCAGCCAAGAATTCCTTCCCAAAATCCCATCTAATCCTGCCCTCTGGCAGTGGGAAGCCATTACCCTTTGTCCTGGCTCTCAAGGCCTTGTCCAAAGCCTCTCAATTCCTGTGACTTTTTTGGGAAGTAGAATAAGCTTTAAGTCTTACTATTGTTTGCAAACCTTTTGAATTCTCAGGTGGAAGATCAGACACTGTCATAGGACAAAGTTGCATTATTTCTGTAGTAGCAAACACTGTGCAGTGGTTGCTCTTGATCAAAGATTGTGTCATCTGGTATGCAGTTTCTGTGCAGATTTTTGTTGTGTTTGGAGAGCACTTGATATATTATTCATAAATTAGAAGCAGATAAATTACAAGACCTAAAGCACATCTCCTAGTAAAGAGTGTGGGTGAGGAAGATAAATTCTTGGCTGCCAGGGTGGTGAGGGCCTGGCACAAGTTACCCAGAGAAGCTGTAGCTGCCCCATCCCTGGAAGTGTCCAAGGCCAGGCTGGACAGGGCTTGGAGTAACCTGGGATAGTGGAAGGTGTCCATGCCCATAGCAGGGGGTGTGAAATGAGATGGGCTTTAAGGTCTCTTCCAACCCAAACCATCCTGTGATACTTTTCCTGTAAGAAACCTGTGTTTATATAATTTTTTTGTTTGCTTTGGGTTTTGTTGGAGTTTTTTGTTTGTTTCTTTGTTTGTTTGCTTTTTCCTTTCCTTCCTTTTTTTCTTTTTTGGCTGTTTGTTTTGTTCTGGCAGTTGTTTGTAACATCACAGATTAACAGTGAGTGTTGAGAATATTGACTCAGTCTCCCCTGCCCCCTCGGCCCCATGTGGCCTTTCCCTCTCTAGCAAAGCTTTGCAGTATTGACATTCTGACCCTGGTTTGGGGGAGCTGTGCTTTTTAGCATTCCTCAGCCTTAACGAAACAGAGACTGTTCCTGTAATGGTTCCCAAACCATTTTCACTAGCGAAGAGTTCTTTAAATAGCACTCACCGAATGTAGCTGCTAATTTGCATGACAGCTTGATTAAATGTAACCTGCTTCCACACTTAATTTATTTTGAAACTGCCCAACATTTTCATTCCATCCCATTAATTCTAAATTAGTAGACTAGCTTGATTATTTAAGATGTGAGGTAATTTCATCATCTTCGTTTGTGTAAGCTCAAATCCATACTGTAAAATCCTCTGAAAGTGGTTATAAATAACAAAAGGGTTTGCACCACATCAAGATCTGTTGGACCTGGTGGTGTGATGCAAAATGAAGTGAAGAATTAGGTGATTTAATGATCATCTTTGACTTCAGCAGCTATTTGGCTGTAAATTTGGCTCCACTTTGCAAGACAAATTCCTGAGTATGTGGATTTGGGGAGAAATGAACTTGGAAAGGTAATATTTAAGGGTGATTTTACACAGGTGCTCCATTTTCCAACAGGAAGTGATCTCTTTAGCAAAATAGAGTCTCAGGTGCTCTTTCAGAGGTACTTCCCTTTGGCAGTGCATCTGTTAGGGAACTGGGCCACAGCTCTTTGCTTTCCATGATGCTGGAGCTGGAATGAACCATTTTTGTGCCAAGTCCTGCAGAAAAGGGGCCAGGAAAGATCTTTTAAAATTTATTTCTACACTCATTTAATTAGCTTCTCTTTCCAGGGCAAGACTTGTTCAGCAGTTAACAGAATATTTCAGATTTCTTGGAAAGCTGGACCCAATAATTTATTTAGGTTATCGACCATCTGTTCCCAGAGGACGGTTTCACAAATATGGCTGTGAATGCATTTCTTAGGTAAAGCTTATAGATCTTCTGTTTTTTAAAAAATTTTTTTTTTCCTTTTGAGAAGTCCTATTATTCCACACTTTTGCTATGAAAGCAGGCTCTGGATCCCCTCAGTTACTCACTCATTTCTTATCTCTCTGCTCTTGCACATTTAACTTGGGATCTTTGTGAAGGTGATGCACAGACGTGTTTCCATTTCAGATTTTCATCCTGGATTTGCAAACTGAAACTGTTTTATCTTCTGAAATCTCCTTGTAGGTACCTACTAAGGAGCACTAAAATTGAAATTTAAATTATATTGAACTTAAAAAAAAAAGGTAAAAAAATCTCATATCTTGCAGTTCTGCCTGTCCCCAGTAAATGCCTTTTCCACTCACCATCCTGCTGTCAATTGGCAGCCTGGTCCCCTCTCCTGGCTCTTCTGTCCATCCTCATTCCAAACCTTGCTGATTCTTTCCATGTAATCCCTGTGAAATGAAAATTCCTTCTTGGAAAGGGCTGTCCAGCCCTGGCATAGGCTTCCCAGAGCAGTGTTGGAGTCCTCATCCCTGGAGGGATTTAAAAGCCATGTGGATGTGGCACTTGGGGACATGGATCAGTGGTGGCCTTGGCAGTGCTGGGAAACAGTTGGACTCGATGGGCTCAGAGGCTTTTTCAACATAAGTGACTCTAATTCTATGAAAATTCCTAATTGGGCTTTTTAATCTTGATCAATGAACTATGTTTTCTTCTGATTTTAAAAGACACCACTTTGCTTTCTGACATTTCTTGGGACCTTGGTGACAAATGTTTTTTCAGCCCATCCTCTTTGTGTCCTACTTCAGAGTATCCTCTGCTTCCAGCTTCTCCAGCTCATCAGGAATAATGCATTTGTCTTACCATGCAGATTATCAGGTAGTAATAACCAGCCATGAAAATGAATGTCTTTAATTTGGCCATTGCCCCAATGTGACAGTGACAAAGGCAGCTCATTGCCCAGGCTGGAACACTCCAGCTCCTTGTTTGCAGCTCTGGCTGCAAAGTTTGGCATCATGGGATGGAAAACAAAGAAGACAGAGAGGAGAAGGTTTTACATTTGACTGAGAGGACTAAGACATGTGACCCTAAATATATTTCTAAATCATAATTTATTTCCTAAATCACTTTATTTTTGAATTTGAATAGCAGTTATGGATGAACCTTCCCTGCATTTCATCAGGAGGTGAGTGTTGAAGAAAACACTCTGGGTGTGCTGGTAAATATTTATTTGTGATAGGATGCAGCATTCACTAGGACTGAATCCATCCCATAATGTAATTTACAATTTCCACATGTATGAATATATGTATGACTGGCTGAGTGCAGACTC